GTAGTTGTCGAAAATGGCAAGTTACAGGCCTTCCGTGTGTGCATGCAGCTGCTTTTATTGCTTTCACAAGGGACCCTAATTGGGACAAATATGTTGATACATATTTCACAGTCGACAAGTTTAAAGAAGCATATGCTTTAGAAATTGGTCCGATGCCTGGAAAAGATCAATGGGTAAATATAGAGACAGTCGAAAAGATATACCCTCCTATTATAAAACGACCACCTGGACGACCTAAAAAGAACAGAATTATACCACATGACGAGCCAAAAAAAAGACACAGATGTCCGCGTTGTGGTATGTACGGACACCATCAAAGGACTTGCAAAAATCCCGCGTCTCAAGGTTTTGATGAAGCATCCTCTAGCAAGAGGAAAGAACACAAAAGATCATGAGTTTTTGTTATGAGTTTCATTACATTTTAGTACTTTAATGCTTTCTGCATGGATTGTTTAATTTTTTAATTTTGTTGTTCGGTAGAATTTGCATGAGAAAAACCATTTAAATATTGATTATATATATATATATATATATATATATATATATATATATATATATATATATATGGACCATGTTTTTAATTAATTATATGCCACATGGATTGTTTCTGTAATGTATTTCTCCAACAAGGACCATATATATAAACATTTTCTGCTATAAGGACTGCATTTGTCATCTATTTCTGTCATATGGACCATTTTGTAAAGATATTATGTCATAGGGGCTGTTTATGTAATGTATTTCTCCCATGGGAGACCATTTCTGTAATCAATTTCTGCATATAGAGCATTTCTGTAATGTTTTTTGCCATATGGACCGATTATGTAATGAGTTTCTGCAAACAAAAACAAGAAATAGTATTGATGGTGGGTAACCAAGAAGATATGAATTATTGCAATAAATAGAGCTTTTGTTTTTCCAAAAGGGTTATATGTCGATGTTTCATTTTTCTAAATGTATGCAACAAAATGATATTTTGGACTAACTATGCAACTATGTTTAATTTCAGGACAAAAAAAGTAAAACGTTGTTGCATAGATTGGTTAAAAATGAAACACATTGCACAAATAAGCATTAAACGTGTACAAAATCTTGAGACAACCGATTTCATTGGGCATAAGACATCAACCTCAAATTAAAGTTAAAAATAGTGAAACCATATACTTTTTCTTTGTAAACCAGTTTTATAGACCATGAAAATATCAAAACCGTATTGACCATTTATAACTAGCTTTTACAAAATTGTATGCACGGTTTTGTTTTTCCAAAAAGTTACAAATATTCTTTATACAACACATTTCATCTTTCTTCCATTTAATGCAGCAAAGTGGTTTTTAGACAAAAAATAAATGCAACGTGTCATTGTAGCATAAAAGAATAAAATATGCAACATTTTACATGTAACATGTTTAAATGCATAGAACATGGTTAACATATTTTGTGTCAGTTGCATGAATTGATAACAATTGAAATATTGTTGCATAAACAAACATTTAATGGGTTCCACATCATAAGGTAACCGACCGATTTACAATGTCGCATATTTTGCTCCTAGAATGAAACATGGTATAGTGTACTCCGTCTAAGAACCACCTTGTCGCATAAGTTAACAAAAACGTAAGACTTTATTTGCATAAACAAACATTTACCCCTTTCCAAAATTGTAAATAGTAGTCGAACACATTTAGAAAATATGCAGCATTTTACATGTAACATGTTTAACAAAATGAGAAATAGTTAAACGTGTTGCATAAATTGGTACAAGAAGGAAACTTTGTTTGCATAAATAAGCATTTAATTGGTGCCACATCATGATGTAACTGATTCTCAGCTATAATGTTGCATATTTTGGTCTACAATAAAACGAGATTGCATATTTCATATATAAAACCAGTTTGTTGCATAAATTTGTAAAAAAGTAAAACGTTACCGCATAAACAAGCATATAACCATTCACAAGTAATGGTAGTCGAACACATTTACAGAATTCTATGCACCGGTTTTGTTCAAATATGTAAATGCTTGTCAAACATCATTTTTTTTACATACATGATACTTTATTTTAGCATCTTATCTTCATTTCTTTCTATTACAACATTTTGTTTTTCAAGTTTTTTCTAGTTAAGACTTTGTACATTGAAAACTCTACCCAATTATAGCATTGTAACTTCAAACCCTTTCTAAAGTAGGATGCTATAACAAACAAATAAACAAAAGTGCATTGCCATTTTCTGCATTTATCCCTTGAGTATTAATAGTAGCCATACCAGGACAGGATCCACAGCAGAGCAAATAGCATTGATGATTGAGCTTTGATAATTGATATGTATCTATGTTCAAGTTTCCAGAAGATAGTGAATATTATTAAAACCAAGGCATCCACCAGATATACATTTTTCCAAGGTTTTTGTGTGAAACTGCTTCAGCAATTAAGCGACGAGCCTGTCCTTCTACAGCCAGAGGCAAAGATGGTGCTGCTCCCACACCAACAACAATTCCTTGCAAACGTGCTTCGATATTGCTTATCGCCCGCTGAAATCACAAATAATACCAATCTACTTTCATTTCTTCTTTCTATCACACCATAGCATTCTACTTCCAACTTTTTTTCATATTAAAATGGTCGCACTTTAAAAAGTCTTCCCAATTATAGCTTTCTACTTTCAATTCTTTTTCTTATTAGAGCATTAAAGTTTGAAAATTCTGGATGACATTGCTTTGCTATATATAATAAGTGTAACCCTTTTTTTTATTTTAAGCAAAAGCAAAAGCAAAAGCAAAACTGGTTTTATTTATAACAGAAAGAAACAAGGAAGATGAAAGCAACCTGTGCATGAGGGTTCTGAACTTCTACTCCACTAGACTTATGAGTTTTAGTCCACTCGACAAGAGGATCATGGATGAAAGTCTCGAGAACACTCATCAATGTTTCTCTGTGTTCCCGTAGTACTGAAAGTGTAATCTCACAAACCTTCAAGAAGGTGCCTTCATACCCTGTAATCCCCAACCCGTCAATCATATTCTGCAAACACAATAAGGTTACTTTCCGAAATAAGTCAATAAAAAAATGTATCAAGAGCTAAAAAAGATGTGTTCTGACCTGGGTTAACCTGAAAGGTACAAGTTCGGGCTTCTCGAGCAGTAAACCTCTGTCAAATAAGCAACTGAAATCTACATGAACACAGTCACCCGTGGTTGAATCAAAAAGAATGTTTTCTCCATGACGATCTCCAAGACCGACTATATGCCCAACCATTGACCAAACAGCAGTAGTGTGTGCATAAGCAACACGGGCCCTAAACCAAGCTGCTGGTTCAGAAAAAGTGTTCAAAAACCACTTGTGGAAAGCTGGAGGGAACATGGGAAGTATTCTGTTCTTCAGCATCTCATCTTCACCTATTTTACCAGCTTGGCATTGATCGTAAATACGCTTAATTTGAGGGTTTGTTTTCAGCCGATCAAACTTCCCTGAGCTTATATATATGTCTTGGAGAATATGTCGAAGCCCACGCGTGTGGGGCACCCATTCTACCATCCCACAATCCTCTGTTAATGGAACCACAGCAAATGTACGCACATACAGCTTCCTTCTGCGGCTTTCTGGACACTTGGACAATAAACGGTTTATCATTGCATTGAACTCCATCATACGTGCATCTTTCCTAAGGTCGTCTTTCGGTTTGCACAGGAATGGGCGTTTCATTCCATCACTGCCCACTAGAATAATCTGTACAAAGAACAATAAATGTTGCAATTTGAAGCATAGAGATATTTAATGTTACATGTATAGCTTTACCTTACCTTTTTTGGTCGTTGAAGTGATGAAAGGACCTCAGCTTCATCTGCTATTCCTGTTATAGTGGGAAGATCTGTAGCAGAAAAGAAGCCTGTCGTACTTGCATCATAAGTGGGAAGACTAACATTAATTGCTCCTTGAGTAGGCATTATGATTTCCAAAGGCATCATCCTTTTCAGGGCACTAAACTCGGTAGAAATGTTGATTGTTGCTGACTTGGACTGACTTGCATGAAAACAAAGCCTGATTAAATGATCAATTAGACTGGCAAACTGAGCAAACAAAGAGTTGGAATGGAATCCTTTTCGTGCGTTGTTTAGAATCTCTGCAGCTGCTTCCCGCCTTGAAGAAACTGTTGATTTTGAAACAGCCGCCATGACCCAAAGGGCTTGTTGTGTGTATTGCCGGAGAACAGAGGTGATGATGTGTTTCACCACTCTCACTATTTCTTCATTTTGGTGGCAGATTCTGGAAACCAGTTGAGGCAGAACTGTCAGCCATTGATATGTAGGCAGATCCTTTAAACACCCGCGCATAATGCCCATCACCTGCCAATGGAGAAGAGAACAAGGATCCACTTGTTACTTTTATCACATAATTACTGAAAATGATGATACCAAAAAGAAAGAAAGTACCTTCCCATGAACTAATTTCATATCTTTATTGGATGAAGTACCTTTCCTCTGATAAATGCTACCAAACTCAAACCATAGTGTCAACAACCTTGGAAGAGCTTGAAATAGATTCTTATGGCCTCTATGAAGACCCTTGGCATAAAATAACAGGACATCAGGAAGAAAATACCACCAAGGCTTCTCGGAATTTGAAGTTGTGGAACTCGAAGAAACCATCCGTTGACCCACATCGGAATTGTCTTCTTGTCGTTTCCTTGCATCAACAAGCACCTCATCACAATATTTCGCGGCATAAAAATACCCTTTCTCCCACTTGGGCTGCAGTTCCCTCACCCTTGAGAAAAGACCAATCACATCTTCCTTCTGCTTCAGTCCCGTATAATGAATCCACCTGGAATACAGCAAAAGAGTTTTGGCAACATCACGATTCTCATTTGATGCTTGAGTATTGCAAGGTAAAGACGGTTGGTTGAGAGGGACCAAGGAAAGGCTGGTGATGGAAGACATTGCAGCCGACCCAATGACTTCAACAGGCATGTTCATAAGCGACTGTTGCAACTCTGCAATAGCACCATCGGATCGCCTGGTGCTCCACAAAAGCTTAGCCTTTTCCATGTGGACATTAGCCGCACCCGATGCCTTGGCTTCCAAAATGGCTCGATTAGCCGTCTCGTAGTGACCAGCCGAACGACACAGCTTTGCATATTGTATCCAGAAGTTTCCCACTTGGCCACCAAGACCGCTAGCACCGAAAACCAGTCGCCGGAAAGCCAATAGCGGTTCGCGTGTCCAGAGAGACGGTTGGGTCAGCCTGAGTCGGTTTTCCCAGTTTTCGGTCACTTTTACAAACTCTGGTTCACTGACACACGACTTTTCCAAGAAAGATTCACCATTAAGGATGGAATGGAAATCCTCGAGCTCCTGCAACACGTGAAGCTTTACAACAAACGGGTATGCTCGGGTG